CCCTGGCGAGCCTGGAAGGGCTGCCTCTGCTGAAAACCACCTGCTGGTGCTGGGAAACCCGGTGGTTTAGTGGTGTTGCTGCTCCAGGCGAAATTGGGATGCTGGCGCCACCCCTTATTATATGTGTTATTGTATGGATCGAGGCGCCGCACATTGACAATGAAGGCCAACTGCTCCTGGGGTGTGGTAGACTCCCTCATAGCCTGGCAGTCTTCCACTAAGTGATTCGAGCTCTCACACCACTGACATTGAGCAACTGGAGGTGTAGCCAAACCTCTGCCCGGAATAAGACTGTTGGGCTGCTTCAATGTCTGCACTAGCTCAGCTACCTGCTGCTCGAGCCCGAATATGGTCTCCATGGCGTGCACACCACGGTCCCTGGAATGTCTGCCTCTGCTGCTCTGCCCCCAGGAATGATCTCTGGCAGCCAATGTATTAATCATCTGGTTCAGCTCGGGTGGAGTCTTAGTGAGAACATCCCCTCCTGGGCATAGAGACTCAATCACCCTCTGGCTGTCTGGAGAGAGAGCACTGTAGAAATTCCCCACTGTGAATGCATCACTAAAGCCATGGTGGGGACACTGCCAGAAATATCCCATGTACCGCTCCCATGCATCACGAAGTGACTCATCTGGCTCCTGGCGGAAGTGAGTGATCTCCCGCTGAATCTCTGTAGTCTTCGATGCCGGATAGTACCTGTGCACGAATTTGTCAGCCAGATCGTCCCAAGAGGTGATGGACAATGGGGGCTGGGTCTCCAACCACCTCTTAGCATTCCCCGCCAGAGAATGGGGGAAGAGATGAAGGCGGATCGCATCATCCGGAACACCATTCAGCTTGAACCCGTTCGTCAGCTGCAGAAAACGGGAAAGATGCACCCTGGCCTCCTCATCCTTCAAGCCATGGAACTGGATAGAGGATGTAATGAGCTGAATCCAGCATGGCTTGATCTCGAAGTTGTTTGCTGGGATAGGCGGGTAGAGGATGACCGGGCGGATGTCAGCAATCCGCGGAGTGTAGTAGTACTCCAAGGTGGGACCCGGCTGCGGTGGATGATGAACTCCATGATCCTGGGGTATGGGGTTGTTCCCCAGGACCGGATTCACCGGGGGAGCCTGTTGAGGATTCCCCTGGTGCTGATTGTAGTCTCCGTCCATCCCGTACTCTTCTTCAGAATCGCTACTCAAATGGCCGTCTAGGCGCTCCTCCGTAGCCAGTCTAGCTCGCTGTTGTCTCTTGAGTTGGCGACAGGTGCGGTCAATCTCTGGATTCAACGGCAGTAAACCTCCTGACTGGCTACGGGTCATGCACTACCTGCACACACTCAAGCAAGCAAACCCGTGAAGGCACAAGTGGGACAAAGCAAACAAAGCAAAAAGAAAAGCTAAATTAACAGAAATCACTTTTCTTCAACAACCTAGCCGTCCCCGGCAACGGCGCCAAAAACTTGACTCGACTCTACTGTCACCCTAGGAATTGGCCAAGTGTAACCACTTCCTAAAGCGTAGTATAGCGGGTTTAGGTTTAATTATCAACCCGGGTCCTAGATCTGATGACTACTCAGTGAATTCTTGTTATCTAGCAATGAAACTGGAATGCAAGTCTAAACTATCAAACTAACAAAGCAAGTAAATGGTTGTATTCAGGTTAAAGAGGTAACCCGGATATGGTTCCCCCTAGACTGCAGTTAAGCCAGCTTGTAATTACCAAGTTCAGTTTCTATGATAGTTATACTGCGGGAGGTTCTCAAACAGCCTGAAGTCTCGACTAAAGGTCTTCAGACCCTCTCAATCTGAGTCTCTAGCGGGCGACTAACCTCCACCGGAGTAAACAGATTGAGGCCCTAAGAACAAAACCTCCACTACCGGAGTAAATCCGGTACAGAATAGTGAGTTGGTTCCTCGACTAAAGTCACCAACTCCCTACCTTCAATCAAGGAAACTAAATTAACCTAGGCAGATATTCTCATTCTAGGTTAAAGCAGAAACAACAGGAATTTGATCAGGATTCAAGTCATTCAATCATTCAAACCTCAATCGAATATAATCAATCATAGCATCAGTACTTGGGTTCATACAATCAAAGCCTAACATACAAATCTAGGGTTCTCCATACCCAGATGAATGGGATAACTACTCCATGGAGAAGAAAGCAAAAGCAGAATCAGACGCGGAATTCATACTGTGAAGGATGGATTCCTGCTCCTGGATGTTGATCGGCACTTCTCCAAGCTCAAACAAGCCTCCAATGGTGTTGAAGATCAAGCTAGGGCGCTTGGAGACTCTTGTTCGTCGCTTTCTCTCTCTAGGAACTGATCTCTCTCTCTAAAACTCGAATCCCCTTGAATTGTGGCTGAAAACCTGCTTAAAAGCATCAGTGGCCAAAGCACGGTCGAGGACACGGCCGTGCTTTGCCTGAGTCCGCCCGTGTCTCGGCCAAGGTTAATTACACGGCCAGCAGTTGGGAAGAAACACGACCGTGCTTCGCGTTGGATACGGCCGTGTAATGCTTGAACTCGGCCGTGCTTTGTCTCGGCCCTGCCCGTGTAATCAGCTCAGCTCTCGGCATAAAAAGCACGGCCACAGGAACACGGCCGTGTAATGCCTTAGGTGTGCCCGTGTTTTGGCTCCAGCTCACCGAAATGACTTCCGAATGCCCCGAAACTCGCGCTTAGCCTTCCCTTCGACACCTGGGACCTGAAACATGACAAAATAGCACAACCCGGCGTAAAATAGGCCACAATACACGACTATGCCCCTCAAACGGATAAGAACTAGGGGCGCTAATATGTGCAATTACATCGTTATCAACCTGCCAGGCATCAATCAATGCATCCCGGAGTTCCGTATGGTTCACGGGTACTCAGTGAACAGCCTGCCCAATAAGGTCCGAGAAGTTCTAAACTTCACCGATTGGACCTCAGCAAGGGAGAACTGGACCACCTGATCATTCGTGACATGTGCCATAGTGTCAACCTGAAAAACAGGAAGAGGAACCATGTTACCAGAAATACGATCAATGTCGTGGCTCATGTCTCCTGATCGGGGCGAGGAACGCACCCTTGCGATAGGGAGATCAAGAGTATGAAGCGTGGGATCAGGAGGTACTGGCAAGCATATTCCTACTGGCGGGAGTTGTTGAGAATAACCATTACCTGTAGGACTTGCAGCAGTGCTAATCTGTTGATGGGCAAGCTCCACTCTCGGCTTCCACAATAACACGTCTTGGCTTTTACACTGACCAAGCGTATTTGGGCGATTGAGGGGAAATATATAGTCGAGGGGTTTCTTAGGGCCCAAACAGAGACGTGGGAATTTCTCCTCAACCCTGTTCCGAAGAGATGGTTTGGGAGTAGGAAACCCACTCAATATATTAACTTCAAAAATTCTGTTACGAGTTTGATTTTTAGAATGGAAAAAATATTCCCCGATCCTGCCCCAACTGAACGGGAAATTCGGAAGAGATCCGCCACAGTCTATCCCTTCTCTCTCCAAATCGGGAGCTCGACATCCGACGAAAATTTTAGACGCCCGAGAGTGCCTGAGTCCGCCGGCGGCGGAGCACCACAGAGGAGGGATTGCATTTGTCAACACTAGTGATGACTCTTGATTTTCAGTGATTCCCCCGAAGGGTTGAGATCGAACCATACGATCATTGCCTTGACATAAATCCATCTTAACATTAGAACTATGAGTGCCCATTCCCACAGACGAGTTCGGGGTTAGTATCTCACAATCCATCTCCAGCAAAGTGGGCAGCCTGAACCTCCACCCACCTCCTGTTCTGCGTTTGTATTTTTTTGTTGACTGCCTTTGAATCGCATCTAAATTGACCTCATCAACCTGACGTTTGCGTTTCCGAATTCTTTTTCGGTGGATCCGACCGGTATCCGAACGTCGCCTATTGCGAGAGTGTCGGTGCACAACGGGAGCCAACATCTCTAGCGCCTTGTCATCGCCGCCACAACCTCCATTGTTGACATGCACCGCCTCTTCACTTGGCCAGCTTCCACCTTTCGCCTGGTTTTGCAGGCATGTAATCAAGACTTCACCGACGATCCGCAATACCCATCGACCTAGCAGGGAGCCGAGAGCAAGGAGAGAGGAAAGAGCACCTCTCATTTTTTTCCCTCGACGCATCGGTCTTCTTTCCTAAGGTAACTTGAAGTTAGGTAACTTGAATTTTCTTACCTGCTATAGCAGGTTTCACAGGTTGCATTACGTAAAACACAATAGGCATTACGTAATGGTTACGTAACATATATGGTTACCTTACGTAACAGTTGTAAAAGGTCATTACAGAAGCCTTACGTAATGGACGGTTATTTTACGTAATGAATACCAACATCGCATTACGTAAAGTGTAAAGTCATTACGGAAGCCTTACGTAACGCTTCCGATTTAACTATTACGTAAGAAATAACTATGTTCCGTAACCTTTACGTAACGGAGGGCGTTTTTACGTAATGAGTATAAACATCGCGTTACGTAAACTGCTAAGTCATTGCGGAAGCCTTACGTAATGCTTGTGATTTAACTGTTACGGAACAAATAACTATTGTTTCGTAAACTTTACGTAATGGATGTTTATTTTACGTAACAGTTGTAAGATGTCATTATGGAAATCTTCCGTAATGGAAGGTCCTTTTACGTAATGAATATTAACCTCATGTTATGTAATGTGCTAAGTCATTACGGAAGTCTTACGTAATGCTTCTAATTTAACTGTTACCTAAAATATAATTATCCTTTTTTTACGGTAATCTGTATTGTGTATTATTAATAAGTTGAAGCGGTTACATCGTCCAACTGTAGCTGATTAACAAGATAAATCGGTGGTCTATCGAACCAAATAACACTCTCGTTCCGTCTCGAATCTACATGCGCCATTATGTGGGCGACTTCATTGGCTTCCCTGCGAATATGTTGCCAGCTACACTCTCCCGTTCCCAGCAACAACCGCCTAATATTTCTGCAAATCACCCCTACCTCATCTTGGAACTAGTGTGCTGCCTGTAACTTTTGGACAAGGACTTGACAATCCGACTCCAACACTGCATTAGGGAAATGACCTTGGACATCCATTTGCGCCTCGAACTCCGTCGCCAAAGCTTCAGCTTCCTCCACCTTCCATTTACCAGGGACTCTTTTAGTTGCCGCCAAGCAGAATCGACCACTGGAGTCCCGAATAACAACCCCCAAGCCTGCTCCTTCATCACCCAAGATGCCTGCATCAGTGCATACTGAAACTCGGCCTTGGTTCGGCCTTTTCCATACTTGCCTCTCCTGAATCGCTAGCTGCTCCTTCTGTCTTCCTTGATGGATTTTATAGTCTTCTAATAGGTATTTTGCCCGCACCACTATCTCCTCTTCGAGTAGTTTTGCCCCATTAAACAAATGGGCATTTCTCTCCTTCCAGAGATACCAAAGCAGAACACACCAACCTTCGAACTTCTCAACTTCTCCCTTCTCCAAAGCTCTCTTAACCCAGTTGTAAAACGAGTCATCATCCTTCAACTGGAACAACCCCGTGAACTCTGATCGCCTCCAAATTCTAGACACCCACTGACACTCACAAAACGTTTGAGTTTGAGTTTCTACTAGACCACAAAACGGGCATCTGTCACTTCGTCGAGGATAACGCTTATGGACTTGCACTCCTGTGGGTAGAATTTCCCTCATAAACCGCCAAAGAAAGTGTCTAATTTTTGGTGGAATATTGAGCTTCCATATCTGCCTCCAAACCTCCGCCTCCCCTTGCGTCTCCACCACTTCCTGCCGCAAAAAGTCCGCCAGCCAAGATTTAAACCCCTCTCTTACCGTATAGTTTCCAGACTTACTGTTGTGCCAGACCAGCGTATCAACCTCCTCATTTCCCCTCAAAGGAATTTGCTTGATAGCCTTGACTATGTCCGATGGAAAGCAGCTCTCTAGTAGCGTCTCATCCCACCATTCCAAATCCGGGTCTATTAGCTCCCATACAGCCGCGTCAACCGGCAGTCCCATTGGTGCCGAGGGTATATACTAGCCAGGAAGCCCCGGTACCCATCGATCACCCCAAATTCTCACCTCCATTCCAGATCCTATCCTCCACCTTAACCCCCGATTCAGTTGTTCCTTTGCACTAAGAAGGCTGCACCATACATAGCTCGGCCTAGCCCAGTGTGGCATCCAGTATAGAAGAATTCTTATGGTACTTCGCTTTTAGGATGCGGGCAATGAGAGAACTTGGACGTTTCAGCAGGTTCCCCAATTGCTTTGCTAACAGAGCCTCATTGAAACCCTTCAAATCCCTGAACCCCATTCCACCATCCTCCTTCAGATTTACCATCTCCTCTCTTCGCAAACCATGCGGCCTCCTTTCTGCTTCTCGCTGTCCCCACCAGAAATTCATTATCATGTTGTGGGCTTCGTCTAACGTACCTTCCGGTATCTTAAACACTGACATGACATAGCTAAACTGCGCTTGCGCCACAGATTTTATTAGTACTTCTCTTGCTGCCACGGAAAGAGTTCTCTCCTTTCATCCGCTCAGTTTCTTCCGTAACCGCTCCTTTATTCCTTCGAACAACATCTTTTTCGATCTCCCGGCTTCCGTAGCCAGTCCCAGATATTTTTGATGTTTCTCTACACCCTTCATTCCCAGCACTCCCCCAATCTCTAGTCTTCTGTGAGTTAGTACATTCGAGCTAAAAGAAACTTCAGATTTTTCAAAGCTTACAAGCTGGCCTGATTCTCGCTCGTAGTCTTTGAGTATCTTTTTCAGCTCCATACTTTCCTCCACAGTTGACCTGGCAAAAAAGATACAATCGTCAGCGAAAAATAAGTGAGACACAACAGGTGCTCCTCTTGCCGGCTGAATCCCACGGATCCTTTTCTCCTGTACGGCCAGCGACGGGTACGCTGAGAGTCCCTCCGCACACAAAATAAATAGGTACGGCGACAGGGGATCTCCTTCCCTCATACCCCAACTCGGCACAAACAAAGGTGACTGATGGCCATTCACCAGCACTGAAAACGTGACCGATCGCACACAAGTCATAATGACGGCCACCCACTTTTCTTCAAAGCCTATACGCCTCATAACCCCTTCAAGGAACCTCCACTCTACTCTATCATATGCTTTCCCAAAACCGTCTTTGCAGCAAGAAAACCCCTTCCCTTTTTCCCCTTATTCTTCATCGAATGAAAGCACTCAAATGCTCCCATAACATTATTAGTAATGAAGCGACCAGGCACAAACACACTTTGTTCAGGAGAAATGACTTTATTCAACACCAGGGATGAAAACACCTCCTCCCTTTCGACTTCCCTTACCAGCAAAGCATTATCTTTCATAGTCACCATTTGTTTGATGGCGTTCAAAACTGGGGTATCTAGAGGCGGGTCCCCAGCAGTAAACAAAGTTTCAAAATAGTTCATCAAGCAATCGAAGAGTCTTTATGTATTACGTGTTCTCCTAGAGGTGGCCTTCCTATGAAAATAATTTGTATTCTTGTCTCCCTCACCGAGCCAATCCGTCCTAGATTGTTGTTTCCAATAACTCTCCTCATCATCTTCCAGCTTTGCTAACTCTTCTTCCACTTCCCACCTCTGCTCCATAATACGAGGCAGCTTGGGGAGCCGCTCTAATTTCCCTAGCGCCTTGCGAATTTTTGCTTTTTGGCGGGCAAAATTTGGGAATGTCTCACTACTCCAAGCCTCCAGCTTCTCCCAGAAGCAGTTAATCCTCCCCAGGAATCCATCATTCCCTGGACTCGACCATGCCTCCTCCACCACCTTCTTGCTTTCCTCATGTTTGGCCCAAAACGGGTCATAACGGAAGCTCCACCCCCATTTAGGTTCTTCATCTTCCTCACCCATCGTATCACATATGATTGGCATGTGGTCTGACCTTGTTTTATCCCAATGCTTCACTCTCACCCGGGGAAACAAAGTTAGCCATTGCTCAGACGCCACAAACCTATCTAGCCATTCCTCAATATACCCTCCCTGCCTTCTCCGGTTTTCCCAAGTAAAGGTATAGCCCTCAAAACCCACATCACGAAGGTTAGAGTCAATGAGACACTCATGGAACTCCACAATATCCCTTTCATCTCTTTGTAGACCCCCACTTTTTTCCTCGGTTGACAGAATTTCATTAAAACCCCCACCACAAAGCCAATGACCCTCTCATTGAGACGCAAGATCTCGCAGTAGAGCCCAAGTGTTCTTCTTTTGACTAGCCTCTTGCTAGCCGTACATACCCGTAAACCTCCACACTACATCACCATGGTCCACCACTTTCACATCAATGCAGTGCAACGAGGCATACATAACCGATATATTTACCTCCTCCACCCACCAAAGGCTGAGCCTGCCAGCTCGGCCACCCCTTGAGGTATCCATTGCCCAGCTATCGCCATGAATAAAGCCTAATTCCTTTCTTGGCTCTTCATTTTCTGACGTTGTTTGTTTTGTTTCCATCAAGAAAACAACTTGCGGGGAAGTTTGTCGCAATAGCGACCTCAAAGCTCTAACTGCCCGCTTACTTCCCAAACCGCGGCAGTTATAGATGAGAAGCCTCATTTATGACCCAAAAGGGATCGGTTCCCCGCACCTTTCAGTTCACGATCAGCATGTTCTTTCTTTCCTCCTTCTTGTTTGCGCATCCCACCACCTGTCGATGTGACGCCAACCTCTTTAGTCATCTTACTCCTTATTACACCCTCCTTCTGACCAACATTTTTGTAGCTATCCTCACCACTCATCGCTCCCCCATTCTTTCTTAGTCCACCCTCCTTACATCCACTACAACAAATTCGGCCTATTATGACGAAGCAAGTTTGTCATATTAGATACTGATTTTGTCATATTAGGTATAATATGACAAAAGGTGTTGTCACAAATGTTTGTCATTTTATCGCCGTCAAGATAGGTCAAATGTGACAAAAATTTTAAACAACGTTGTCACATTTGCTTTCAGTATAGCTGAGGTTTTGGGTAATCTATTGTGACAAACAGAGATGTTATGACGACATATTTTGTCATTACGATTGTCATAATCTGGTGAGTTGGGGAGAATTGTTCGTCACATTACATGACTATATTTTGTCATAACTGTATATTGTGACGACTGCATCTGTCACAAGTGTTTATTGTGACAACATTATTTTGTCATAGCTGAATATTATAATTAATATATTTTGTGCTTCAAAAATTTCATAATTCGAAATTGTTTTCTGCATTGGAACCTGATAATGGAAATATTACCAAAAACCCTAAACATTACAACCATTTCCATAGCAGTCTAACTGCCACTCTCGTACAACAATTAACAAGAGCAGTGACAAATTACATTACAACCTCTAATCTATCGAACACAGACAAATAAGGGCAAGACTTGATCGAGGGTTTTGGGATTGGCTTCCCGGTCGCTGTCATTGAGGATTTAGATCTTAAACCTCGCTCTAGCTCGTCGTCTGTGGTCTAGAGGAAGGACTAGAGGAATGACCAATTTTACCCACCGCTGTTACTGGCCAGTATTGTCGCCAACGATTCCTTTTCCAACTTTCCTCTCCTCTTATGAAACCTCCACCAAAAAACCCAGAACGCAAAATAAAACGATTAGAATCCTAAAACACCCCCAAAACAAGTATCGGAAAAAAATACATGCATTAACCTTACCTCTGTAGCCAGCATCATTAGTGCCAGTCTGTTCCGTTGGCCTCGTGTTCCTTTCTTCTTCCTCCTCGTCATAACCAAAACAGAGAAAAGGCGAAGTTAGATCTAGAGAGGGGAAAGGGGATTTTGATTTTTGTTTATCGCAAAGAGGCAGCGACAGATTGAGAAAGCTAGGGTTTCAGATTTCGTTTTTTTTTCTTCTTCTTTGTTTTGTTTGATCTTCCAAGTAGAGAGAGCGATAGGGAGAGGTGAGGTTGATTGACCTTCAATGTACTAACGTCGTCATTGCCATCTCTATCGGCGTTCATCGCCGTCGTGCCCTTCGATGTCGCCGCCCTTTCGTCTCTCTTCAGTTTCATCTTTGACAGAAGAGAAGGGAGGGAGATTAGGTTAGATTGACAAATCAAAGAGGCAGATTGAATCGTTTTTTAGAAGAGATGGAGAGGGGCGAAGTATCTTTGCTCGATCTGAAAAGGGGATGGAAAGAATAGATCGAAGAGAAGGAGAGAAGGAAAGAATGGATAGAAGTTTGCTTAGTTTTCTAGAGAAAATGAAGAATGAATCGAGAGAAGTGAGAGGCCGAGCGGCAGAGATGTTAAGAGGAAAATGGTTAGGGTTTTTTTTGCTAGAGTTTAAGAGATGCTTATATACCTCTGGTCGTATAAAGCACGTATTATACTTGTATAACACATTTAACATCCATATTTCATGAATTAAATTATATCTTAAATATTATATATTTATTTATTTATTTTTAAATAATTGAATATATACCTTTTATGTTAACATTTACAGACCAAAGCCGAAACAACTATATTATGACGAACATGCCCTTTTGTCAGCTCGCCGAGGGACTATTGATATCTATTGTAACAAAATACTTTGTCATTTAAACAATTCAGGAAGACATAATATGACAAATGCTACTCTGACGATATAATTTGCCACTTTTGTGTCTCTTACATCCCTATATGGGATGCCTATTTTGACAAACTTAACTATGACACGAAATATTTGTCACATTACTCACTTTAAATGACGAAATATTCTGACAATAGGAAACTGTCACTATTGAGTCTCTTACATCCCGATATGGGACGCCTATTTTGACAAAATTAATTGCGACACAAAATATTTATCACATTACTCACTTTAAATGACGACTTATTCTGACCAATTTTATTTTTGTCACATTAGGCAAACCAAATATGACATATATCATTTTAGTCATATCATCGTACCTATTGTAACAAACAGAAAATGACAAAATAAAAACTTTTGTCCTAATAGGCCGAATTTGTTGTAGTGATCCCACTTTCTTCTTGTCATTTTGGGCTCTCTTCGCTCCATCACCATCCTTCCCCTGCTTTTCTTTTCTACTGAATTTGAACACCGCCCCCTCCATACTAGAGCCTCCAGCTTCCGCACTCCTCTCCTCCCCTTGCTTCCCCTCATTTCCAATCCTCTCCCCTTTCTCAGTTTCGTGTATCCCATCCCGCATGGCATTATTATCCTCATCACCATTTCCATGCAGCATGTCGAACCGATTCCCTATTTGTTTTTCATTTTGTTTTACATCTATTGCCCCATGCTGCATAGGTTTTCTAGTCTTCCTTTTCACCGTCATCCATTCCCCATAAGTATGCCCATTGTAGGGATCCTCCGGCTGTGTTTCGGGGACCATTTCAACATTGTCAGTTTCTTCATCACGTTGAGCCTGTCTACAATAACACGTCATAGCACCTTTCCCGTACCTTCCACAGTCACCACATATATTGTCCAGACCCTCATATTGTATCAGATATTTGTTACCTTCGATCTTATACTGCGAGATCAAAGGTTTCGTCAGATCCACCTCCACACACACTCTGGCAAACTAAGCTCGAGCTCCCAATTCGGTCTCTCTATCCACCCGGATGGGCCTCCCAATATGTTCAGCTATTCTCACCACAGCCTCCTTATTGACGAACTCCACAGGAAGCTCCGGAAGCTGGACCCATACAATCGTCGACTTGGTGATCGTGGTCCAAGGATTGAAGCCCATAAACCATCTATGAACCGCCATATAGGTCTCGCCCAATAGCCATGGCCCCCCCTGACGATGCCATTTCACAATCCATTTTATTCTTGAAACGAACCAGGAAGCACCCATTCTTGATATCCGTTATCTGGATCTCACCATGACGAGCCATAAGGTAGTTCAGTCTGCGAGACAACGGTAAGTAGTGCACGCGTCACCCTAACCCCTTCACCACCAGTGCCGATCTCCACTCCCTCCTCCATCGAATTTTCTCCGCCGCCGAATACAGGATTGTTGGCCATCGGCGGTCGTCCTCTTCCTCTAGCACCTCATCATCTTCCTCTCTCTCGTTATTCACAACGTCCTCAGTATCCGACTCAGCAACGTACCAACCTTCTTCTCCTTGCTTCCTTTAAACAGCCGTTCCGCCCCATTAGTCCAGCCGGACGTGAACTTCCCAGGTTGATTCGTTTCATGCGCTTCACCAGCCGACGTCTCTGTTTCCATCTCCGTGGCTACACCTTCCAGCCCTACCTGTTCTTTTTCTTTATTCAACTCTAGTTGACGAACGCGCTTCTTCAGCTGCACCGCCTCCTTCTCGCTTTTACCATCCGGTGATGAGGAAACAGCTGCTGGCCTACGGATACCTCTCAGGTCCGGTGGCTTATCGGTCGTAGCTAGGGTTGCTGACGCCGCCGCCATCGCGAAAGATGGGAAAATAGGCTTGTCTACGATCGCCTCCGCAAATCTCGAAGCGCTAGGATATCACAGTTATGTTTGTTATAATTATCCTTACGTAAGCTTTACGTAATGAGTTTTAAGTATAATAACTAAATAATCAAAAAGAAAAAATAAACATGAAAAAGAAAAAGAGAAACAAGAGACATAAAATAGAAAAAGGAAAGTTACAAAAAAAAAGTTAGAAAAGGGTCAGAAATTTTCCCGCAAACTAAAAGCAACCGGCACCGCCAGTTGCCGTTCTTTGTTTTTTTTTGTGTTTTATTTTTTTTCATTTTTAATCAATGGCTTAAAGTGATTAGAATTTATTTTAATAGTTAAGATCTAATCAAGTTACCTAACTTAAAATTATACCCAAGTTATTGTAGGGAATCCCTATATTTATTATAATATAACTAGGTGATTTTGGCCGCGCTATGCTGCGGCCTTAGATTGATTTTATTGGAACCATTATTGTATTAATGATCAACCCGTAATATAGATGTCTTCATGCAATAAAGCCATTATCAATTTCCTGCAATACAGTCATTATCAAACTTTATGAACATTCAGAGTAATTAGACATAAAGAGAATCATATTTTTGGTAACTCTGCAAGTTCTTGTTTGCTATCAGTTACCATGTCCGTAACTGTTACTCTGCTAGGATACAAATAATTAAGAGATGTAGTTAATTTTGTGTGAAGACCAATTAGTGATTCATCTTTGTTACATGAATTTTTAGTTGTGTAGGATCCAAGTAATACATGTTATTTTGGTGTAATGTTATATGTTATTACTAACAAAGCATTCAAAATCTGGATTTTATCAGAAATAAAAAACTTGGGTAAAATCGGAATCGTAAAATCAAATTGTAAAATCGTAGGAATTTTTTTTTTATTACAGGAGGCTAAAAAGCCGAAGAAACAGAAGAAAACTAGGGGGAGGTAAAATGGGGGGGAGGTAGATTGGGGCACGCTATGTTTCTAGCAAAGGTAATGCCCCTGAGGCCATCCTGGAGTAGGGGAAGAAGGTCATTTGGAGGTGTTTCTAATTCGTACATACCGTAGGGATAGACGAGACTATGCTTCACGAGCCAGTCCGCGACTCTAATCCCTTCTTGGTATGTATGAACTAGATTCACAATCCAGTCTTGCGCCAACTTCCGCCTAATAGCTGATAAAAGGGCTGCACAAGGGTAAATCAGATCCGTTCTATTGTTCACAAGCTGGATGCCACTTGGGAATCATTTTCCACGATGTGAGTTCTGCAACCAAGCTTCCACGCCAAATTGACTCCATGATACAGAGCCCACAGCTCTGACATAGCAGCTGAGCAAGTGCCAAGGCTCACGACAAAACCTCCTACCCAGCTGCTACTTGTATCTCTCAGAAGACCTCCTTCGCCTGCAATTCCCTTAGGGTTGTTCGAAGCCCCATCAACATTGAGCTTCAGCCAGCCTGGTGGAGGCGGCTTCCATCCGATCTGCGACAGAGTACGCTGCGGAGCCAACTTTTTCCGCCCAGGACCTAGCCTCGTGGAATTCCAAGCACGAAACCACAACTTGGCCTTAATCCGAATCGACTGAACGAGGGTAGGTGCCGAGAGAGTCTTGCTCAGACCATGGAAAACACCTTCATTCCTATTTCTCCAGATGCACCAAAGAGCAATACTGAAAAACACATTCCAGGGCATATCGGAAGGAGAGGCTTTATCGCAAGTCACGTTATTCTCCAGCCAATCGTCCCAATGTCGACTAAAGAAAGCCTGTTGCTTCTCAACACTAATCGTGCGACACCAGAGGAAAGCAGTAGCCGGACAATCTCTAAAAATATGGAGGAGCATCTCATCCTGTGAAGTGCATCTATAGCAGGATGCGTTTAGGGTTAGATGGCGCTTCACCCTTAGCTCATTTGAGCAAATTCTCCCCTACGCAATCAACCACATAAAGAAGCGTACCCTTTCAGGTACGGCTAGCCTCCACAACGTCTTCCACATGCGTTGGTTCCCACCTTCTACTGGAGGATGCATCATCTGATAAGCGCTCTTTGTCGAAAACCTCCCATCCGAAGTTGGTCTCCAAAACAAGGTGTCTTCCTTTGTTGCTAAAATGTCGACAGCCTGTGTCGTGATCTGACGTTGGATTTCCATAGGTAGGATAGCGTTGAATTTCTCTGTCTTCCAGTTCCCATCTTCTTCAACATAATCGGCCACCATCAGGTTTCGATCCTCTTCTGGAATTTGGTCCAATGCTAGCTCCTGGAGAGGTAACTGCGTCAGCCAAAAATCCGACCAGAATTTAGTTCGGTTACCCCTATGGATGTTCCAGGCGCAACCCTGCTTAAGAAGATCAGCTGCCTTAGTAATGCTAGCCTAGGTAAAGGAACTTCCCTGAACCGGTCTCAGAATGTCGGTGTTGTTGAGATCTTTCCCATACTTTGCCCGAACCAGTTGAACCCAAAGGGAATCCTTCTCCTTGATAGTGCGCCATCCGCCCTTAGCCTGCATAGCTAGATTCACATCCCTAGTCGCTCGGATACCCAACCCTCCATTCTGCTTAGGAAGAAGAAGTTGTTGCCAGCCCACTAGATGGAGCTTCTTCTTGTCTTCTGTGTCTCCCTAAGTTAAACTTCTATTTATCCGCTCAAGCAACCTGCAAACATTCATTGGAAGGATCTATGTTTGCATATGATAAATGGGAATAGAAGCAGAGATAGACTTCACTACAGTAGTCCTGGCCGCGAGGGAGATATATTTAGTTTTCCAAGGAGCTAGCTTCCTCTGAATCCGAAGCATAAGGTCCTGATATCTGGTCTTGTTCACCCTTCCGTGAATGGCCATCACCCCCAGGTATCGTCCAAGGTCAACCGTAAGGGGAATACCTACTCTGAAAGAAAGCCTCCTAGCTGTCAATGTTGGAAGAGACAAACATAGCCGACTTCCCATAGTTGACCCGCTGTCCGGAGCTCTGGCATAAATCATCAAGGAATTGCTTGATTATCCATACCTGAGCCCCATCTGCCTCTACAAAAGAATAAGATCATCTGCAAAAAATAGGTGAGAAACCGCGAGCCCCTCTTTGGAAAGCCTAAGAGGCTTCCACAGTTTATCATTGATAGCCTGGTCGATCCTATGAGAGAGACGTTCCATACACAGAACAAAGAGATAGGGGGAAAGGGGGTGTAACATCTCGTTCCTGCAAAACCCATATTTCGATCGCTAGAAAGTTCGCGATTTAAAATCGAGCGTTTTGATAGTATTTCGGCGGAAATCGGATTATCAATCGATCGGATAAGTATACGTATTAATTATATATATATATAATTTCATTAAGCGGCCGGGCCATATATATTAATTTCCCCCGTCCATTATCTCCACCATCATCCTCCATTATTTGGACCGAGAGATACAGAGAAGCAGAGCACGCACATAAAGCTTCTGTGGAAAATTTTCAAAGCTCCAATCTTGAGTCCTAGTGGTCCAAAAATCCCGTAAGTAATGCCTAATTCATATATTCATCGTGATTTACCGATTTAGAGCTTTAAAACGAGTTTTTGGTTTAGGAATTTCTTGAATTTCCGATAAGCCAAATTAGGTTTTCGGAGTATCCGGAAGCCGGATTTAGCCCAAATTTCATATACGAGCTTCCTGCAGCGAGGTAATCAATCCTCTAGTTTTAATCCATGAATTTCGGTAATTATTTAGGTCGGAGTCGGGATCGCTGAATTTAGTTCCGACCAGGGTTTGATGTGTTTTTATCGAGAATTTGACCCGGATCCTAAAACTAATATTGACGGGGATACTGTAGGGATATTAGGACGGTCTCGGATTTTAATTCGGGGTTCTTTCGTGAAATTGACGTTTTAGTACGGGAAGCTTAAACCGGTGTTTGAACGACCATAACTGGTGAGGGAATAACACAGCATACCGGGTTTGTCGTATCACGATAATTATATTGATGCTTAGAATTGACCTAGGTGAATTAGAATGGCATGATTAGGGGTGTATGGACTTTTATGCTATATGATGAACCATGGATTGTTGTATGATATTATTGACTTGCCCTATCTGATATGGACCTTGTTTATGTTGATAATTGCATACATGTTGCCATTTGGGGCTTAACCGTTGATATGACTTCATGGTTGTTCGATCAGGTGTTTTGACATGATGTGATATTGTGGTTGTATTTGGATTCACAAGTGGGGGAAATAAACTTCCTAGGGTGATATTATGATGTTTAAGGAGGATGACTTGCACGAGGGTTTATCCCGAGGAAGTGCAATTATACGACTCCTAATTTACCTATGTTGAGCCAATTATGGCCAGGTCAAGTTCATGTGCAAGTAACGAATTATGATTAAGCAATATGAGATATGGATCATGTGTAAGATTACCAAATAAGAGTGATTTGGTCTCATGGTCAATTACATAGTAATTAAGGCTCCCCATACTATTACTCCGTTATGATATGTTATGTCACACCCCTGATGTGGTGTTGACCGTTGATTCATCATGAGATATGACCACACCCAGAGTGGTGCTGAGTCCGATATGACCACACCCAGAGTGGTGTCCGATCCGATATGACTACACTGACAATGGTGGGTTCGATATGACCACATCCACGAGATGTTTGGTCAGTATTCCCGGGAGAGTAATTAGCATGGGAGTAGCCAGGCGCCTATGATTAAAACATGATAAGATGCATATGCATAAGTCAAGGTGGTTGAGTCTTTTGCCTATTGGATCATAAGGATGGCTGAGGTCCGATCCTAGTGTTTTGGCTTGATTGTTAGATGTGTGCTAGGGGTATGCTCTGTTATGAACTCACGATGCTATGATTATCTCACTCAGCTATGAGCTGACCCTCTTTTATTCTTCTTATCTGCTTATGCTATGTGTAAGCATATCATCAGCATTAGCAGTAGATAAGTGTTAGGTGGGAGAGGAGCTAGAGTTGAAGCCAGGATGAGGTATGGTCTTCAACTATTCTGGGCTTGGATGACTACTCGGGATTTTGGCTAGTGATCCACACCTTTTTGTAAAAAATGTTTTGAGAACGTTTTCATGTGCATACTAGCTTCTGATGTAGTGTGAGATATCCAGTGGTGTGGAAAGTTGATGATATGTGTATATGTTGTGTAACTGTGTAAGTTGTGACGATTATGGTATGTATAAGTATGGTATGCAGTTGTGGAATATGAAAAGTGTGACTATGGCTAAGAAAAGCCAATGCATATGGTTGTGAGTTATATGTTTGTGATGAATTATTTTGCAGGATAAGTTGCAAGAACTGTTAGCCCATTACGCGAGTAATTCATGTCGAAATTTTATTTGGGTAAATTTTGATAATTAATGTAACACCCGAGATTAATTCGCTGCAATTGTATGAACAATATGATTAGGTAATACGTATAGGGTAGGGTGTTACAGGGGGTCTCCCTGACGGACTCCTCTGGTGGGAGTGATCGGCTCTGAAACCTCTCCATTCCATAGCAGCCGCATCTTGTTGTTCTCGACACAGAACATGATGCAGTTGATCCACGAGCTAGGAAGCCCAACTTCCGTGAGAGTATCCCTTAGAAAGTGGAGAATTTCCTGCAAAACAATAATGTTGTCAGTCTTCTGCCTCCCTGGGGTGAAGTTGCTTTGGCGGGGGGACACCAGTTTTCTCATCATGGGTTTGAGTCGGTTCGTGATGGCCTTGGTGATCACCTTCAGACACACATTGTTGAGGAAGATCAGACGCAACTAGGAGACCATCTCCTAGTTTTCCACTTTTGGGATAAGGACCACCATCGACTCTACCACTTTCTCTGGCAGAATACCAGTGGAGAAGAAGCTCATAGCCATGTCACTAAGAGCTATCCCTACCACACTCTATGAGTTTTGAAAAAAATGGCTTGAAAGCCATCTGGTCCTGGAGCCTGAAAAGGTTTCATATCGTGCACCGCTTTGTGGATGTCTTCTCTCGTGAAAGGCCGGAGGAGACACGAAAAATCTCCATGGGTGAGCCTTGGAAAAACTTGCTTAGGCATCTCATCTATGTACTCCTGACTGTCCTACAGATACAAAAAAGAGAAAAAGTCGAAAACCAAAGCCGCCAACATATGGGGGTCCAAAACCACTCCCCATTGCTGAATTTTAGGCTCTCGATCTTATTTCTCTGCCTCCGAATGTTGGCTTGTTGATGGAAGTACGCCGTATTACGCTCGCCAAACTGGACCCATTTTTCTCTAGCCCGTTGATACCAAAGAATTTCTTCTTGCTCTAAGACCTTGTCAAGCTCTTTCTCTAGTTTTGTCTGCAGCTTGAAAAGTCCTGGATAAAAGTTATGGGCCACATTAGCTTGGATGCCCTAGATCCGTCTCAATAATCTCATCTTCCTTTGGAAAACATTCCCAAAAGTGGACCGGTTCCATTGGGAGAGTTTGGTGGGCGCCTCCTGTAATGCTTCCTAAAGTAGAGCCTGTGAGTTCCAACAATCAGACAAGAAAGAGTCATAAGTATCATGAGTAAGCCAAGCTCCTTCAAAAGGAAATGGACGAGTAGGGGAAGATTAAACTCCCTGATTTCCTATCACGGTCAGGATTGGGTGGTGGTCTGAGTGGAGCCGCGGAAGATGGATAACGGAAGTATTAGGGAAAGCCATGTTCCAGGCTGCATTACAGGAGGCTCCGATCAATCCCACTGGATTTATAGGAGTTAGAGTTTTCACCCCTGGTCCAAGTAAATTGGGGACTCGAAAACCCCAAATCCATAAGCTCCGCTTGATTAATCCTATCATTGAAGCGTTTGCAGCAGCAAAAAATGGCAGAACTGACCTGTCCTGCTTGTTCAGATGGCATCCTGGTCGCATTTAAATCACCGGTAAGTAGCCAAGGAAGATCAAGCTCTTCGCTGGTCCGAAAGATGGAATGCCGCAAGAAACGCTACAAACTCTGTCTCAGGCTAGCATAGACAGTCGTGACACACCATTGGGGAACTGATGCCGTCAAAATCTTCACTGTTAGGTGTTGAAAACAAGCTAACATAACTTCCACGGTGAAAGCTAGAGCGTTCCAGCAAAGCCAAATTCCGCCTTTCCTTCCCTCCGCCTCCACCCGCATAATGTTTGGGACTCCTAATCTTCCACATACTCTATTCGCCACCTCTCCACTGATCTACGGTTTCAGGAGAATCAATAAGTCAGTTTTCTGATCCTGCACAATAAGCTTGAGGGTTCTGATGAATGCGGTGTTACCAGCACCTCCAACGTTCCAAGATAGAATTTTGAAATTTATATTGATAGAAAACGACATAACAGAGAAATCAAAGGAGAAGAGAAAGGATTTGGAGATGCAAAGGATGGGGTGTAGCATCAGGTTGACTCTGGGAGATTTTCCGATGTGGGCTTGTCCCGTCTGTCTTGCCCATCTCCGTCAACCCCGACGAGGCTTCCTATTTCGAGCTCGCTTCAGTCGCTCCCGTCCAAGCTGTTATCTCCTACAGGGTGAGAGACGCCATTCTTGTTCGGGATTTGCTTTTCTTATCCTTCATCGGAGACCAGATTTGTAGAGCTTTGGCCGCATTTGTCATCGACAGCTTCCTTGGAGATTTGGATTTCTTCCTGTTTTGATTTTTCTTATTTTTGGTTCTCGAGGCTGCCGACGGGTTCTCACTCATTTACTCCCGATTTCGTTTTGAAACATATTGCTGGACATCCACAATTTGGATTGAGGTGTTGTTCGGCCCCGTTAACACTTTAGTGCTCGGCGGCCCAAATGAAGGAGGTCCATGATTCGCGTTGTCCGCAGGTTTGGGATTTATATTCTTGCGCTCAAAGTTAGGGGCCGCTATCTCCATCATTGTACTTGGGGCGGATTCCGTTGTGGTTCGGTTTTGGCCCAAGAGATTCTCCTTAGGAGTAAGAGGGATGGGGCCCATAACACCTTTGCCACCCGTCGCTACTTCACCGGTTCCTTTCCCAACTTTTTCTTTCCCTTTTTGCTGGCTCCCTGATACTTTCCCTTTTTCCAAATTACCAAACTTCAAGCTTTCCACCCGTTGAGCATCCTTCTGCCCCCCTTTGTTCCCAGCGTTACCTTCCATACTTTTCAGCCCATTCTTTCCTTTTTCGATTTTTCCAGAAATAGAAGGATCATCGTGATTCCTGCTTGAGTTTCCTTTCTCAGGGCTAGGGGATCCCCGCCGCGACCACCGCGTGACTTGCATCCATGGGCCAAATCCCGTTTTTTCCTCTAGAGTCGCCAGCGAGCAAACCTACGGTGAGCTCACAGCCGCCCCAGCCACAGACTTCGGAAGCAGAGAGGGGCAGGAAGTTGTCGTATGACCGAATTTACCGCATTCGAAACATACGATCGGCAGATTTTCATATTCAATGTATTGCCATTTTCCATCCAGCCGAATCCGCGTCACAAGAGGTTTAGGTAGTTTAACTCAAAGTAGTTCTTCGGCCCAATTAATTTCAACATCGTATGCTAATCATGATTTACAACTAAGAATAAATGAACTCCAATCAAATCATTAATACTAGTGGCTTGGTACAAATATATTAATTAATTAAGTAATTAGTTCATAATGATGTTAATTCTTACATACGTACAATATTAGGACAACTATTTTACCAATGAGTTCAACCGGGCAAAGGATTGAGATTGACCGAGCCCTAATTTGATTTTTATTTTTATTTTCAAATGTTTTTAATAGAAAAAATATATCTGAGAAGATCCTCATCATTGCCCTTTCCACCGAAGCAGTTCTGCTTTTTTAAAATGTGCTCAAACCGCCTATTTTTGTTCTCATGCCATTTTAATCCCGATTTTGGTACGATTTTAATCCCAATTTTGAACGATTTTAAGGTCCATTGATTTTATAGTAAATTAAGATCGAAATCCCTATGTAAAATTTAAAATCCTAAAATTTATGATTAAAATCCCGATTTTGACTGTTTTGATTACTCATATATTTGATAAGATTTGATATAATTTATAAATGTGTGAAACAATGTAATGACTTATTCATAGGCTAAATCTAGCTAAAGCAATTGGACCATTAATCCTCAACCCACTTGCTCGATTGAACCAATGGGCTAAACCAGATTGACAACCTTCTAATTCTTATTTTTTTTTTCTTTCTTCTTATTGTTGGTTATCCCAATTTGATCGACGACGAAAGATGAAATGCAAAAATAAATACTGGTGAAGAAGAGGAGTGCCACGAAAAGGGGTTTGGTCTTGTGATTATACCACTAATTTTGATCCTGGAGGTCATAGGTTCAAACCTCTTAAATAGTACCTAAACAACAAAAAGTAATCTTATACAAAAGGTTCAAATCAGCCTTATATAAAAAAAAGAAGAGTAAATTTCATTTGAAAAGAAGGCTTGATATAATTTATAAATGTCTGAACAATACGGTCACTGTTGTGAGCTATTGGCTAAATTATGGCTTGAACTTCTTTTTTTTTTTTTTTTTTTTTTACAGAAGTATGGGCAAAGCAATTAACAGATATGGCTCAAGTTATGATGGATAGTTTATATTCAGTTTACATCTTTTCTCCTCGAAGGAGGGATTTGTCTTTGTCCACTACATCCCCATGTGTTGATGAATGGATGGGAGGTTAGGGAGAAAAAATGACAGTAGAACACTTTAGTCAAACCCTTATGGAACACTAACCACGTTGTTACTTTAATAAGTATCTAGATATGCAGGGCCTTCTCTGGAATTTTGAGCACCCACTTTCAGAAATAAAGTGTGGTCCTAACTTTTTTTAATGTAAAAAATAAAAAATTAACGATATGAATTAATAAATAAAAATTATATATCGTTAACAAAGTTCTATATAATATAATGACATTAAGAAACCAACCAACACGTTTGAGAACGATTAAAAATTTTAACTAGTTGTAGAATCACCTTAGACAAAGAATATTGTAATAACTTAAGCTCATGAGATACATCATTGCCATCAATATCATATGGCTCATTGTTATTTAGTACCTTTTCAATGCAAGAAGACTTTAGACTCCCATCATCCAAATAATAAAACTTATTAAACAAGAAATAAAAAATAGACTCGAAATTATGATATTGCTCGAATATTTTACTAAACAAAAAAATTGCTTGATTCACCACGTATATGAAATAACAACTAACCTATGGTATGGGTAGTAGTCCATTTGGTTGTGGGCTAAACAACCTATGTCTCCATCTTACTAATTAGTGGTGTCACAATTCGGTCTCATGCAAAGGTTAAGCTAAGTCATAATGCAAAGAAAAAACTATCGCACATGAAAGCAACAAACATGATAAAATCTCACATAGGTACCTAGATGCTCAGTTTCTCATGCAAATTCCTCACTCTCTATGCATAAACAACCGAGGATCATGATTAACCAAACAAATTTCATGTAGTTTTGCCATCAAATGAAGACTAACAGACACAATCTTATAGAGTTCTCAGTCATCATTATAACTTGCTTTCATTCTCAATCATACTACACAGCATTGAAGTAAATGAGCCACAAAATTCAAAAAACAAGTTCATACAGTGCCCACTATGATCATTAACAAGAAGTAAATCATACTTGATGCCCTCAAAATCAAAATGTTTTACAATGGACTAGGCTCCAAAAGTTCACAATATCAATCATAACCATTCATCATTCAGAATTCAACAACCCCAAACTTTAGCAAAAAATTCAAAAATAAAAAGAAAAGCACAAGATACAAAATCGGCCCTAGATGTCGTTACTCTTTATTGATGGTTATGCAAACTTGGTTATTGACCGGATCTACTCCCTAATAATATCTTAATATGTTTTGCGAAAAAACTTTGGGCCTTCAGACTACGTTATAACCACTATCGGTACCACCCTTTCACCACCATCATACCACCTTGTATTTCATTTTACCACCATTGTAGAACCAACATACCATCATTTTACTGTTAGTATGCATTATAAGATCCATTATTGAAACTCTCCCAATAACTCGAGTTATCGACATCAACTGGTTTTTGACATGGCGTTGGAGCCTTCTGTGTCTAAGAGGTCTTTTGTTCCAATCCTAGTAATCCCCCATTTGTAAGCACATGGTATTTGATGCCTATGCAAATTTCAAGCCTATATTAGTCTCTTTCGTTTGAGGGGAGAGTTAGTGTGCGGTATAAGATCCATTATTGAGCATCTCCCAACAACTTTAGTTATTGGGATCTGTTGATGTCATCTCGACAAAGTCAGAGGATCATCTAATCTCCAACGGCTATATTGAACAAAGAAGGAAAGTGAATGGAAGTTGGAATCAGAGGAGCTAACCAAGCGGTGAAAAACAAAGGCAAGTTTGCGCCATAAGTGCCTGGAAATTGAAGTATAAAAGACTATCCTTTAGAATCATTCGATACAGCTTTTCTGCAAGGGAAAATCAGTACAACAAAGGGAAACTATGTGTGATTTTCAAGTGAGAAAAGTGGTTCAGAGATAGAGAGATATTTCTGGGTTGAAATTGATCTATCTAAGGTCTATTGGCTGGGTAGCTGATAAGAGTGTGAGTGAATTAAATCTCAATCGAGCAGGCAGCTGATTGAGGGAGAGTTGGTTGTATTTGTAAATATTCATGTGATTTAATCTCATTATCTTTAGTGAAAAATCAGGGATCGCTGGTTCGCGAATCCCTGATCGTTACTAGTCGGTACTGGGATTCATATTTATCCCTCCACCGGAAACCACGTAAAAATCCTGGACTCTCTAGTAAATTGCCAGCCTGCGTTTGAATGTTATAAACAGAACATCTCTGTTCTTCTCTGAGTCGAAGAACAGGAAGTAGGGGAACTGTGTTGATCTTCATAAGTTCAAAGTCAAGAGTTAGTAGTAGGTAGTAACACGACAGCGTTTGAGGGTGTAGTATTGTGGGTTAGTTTTAGCTAAGCTCGACGTGGGCATATTCAGCTAATGAGAGAAAGTTAGTTGTCTCAAGTTGTGTCCGGCTTTAAGCCCATTTCAAGTCTCTATTTCAGACTGGGTCCAGAAACAGTCAGACAAGGAGAGTAAGTGGTTGATATCGATCAAATAGATCATTTCGTGTCTCTAGGTTTGTGTTCTTGTGCTGTTGATTTCCAGGAAAGAAATCCAGGAGAGGGAAACTGGCCAAAGACTGCTCCAAAGCCAGAAAACAAGGGGAAACGTCTCACGCTCGATGTACCAACACGTGGTATCAGAGGCCGACTCCGTCGAATAAGGTCATGCAATCTCCGGAGAAGCAATGGCGTCTGGTAGCGGAAATGGAGCGGTACTCTATCTTGCTGATGGGTTCTCACATAATCGCCCCCACGTTTCGAAGGCGTTAATTATGGCTATTGGAAGAATCGAATGGAGCTCTTCATTGGATTGAAAGATTCGAAGATCTAGAATCGGGTCATCAATGGGCCACACGAGCTGAAAGCTGATCGAGAGAAGTGGACTGACAAAGATTTCGAGAAGTTCCAACAGAACTGCAAGGCGACAAATCTAATGTACTGCGCTTTGGGTCCTGAGGAGTACCACAAGGTTGCGGGGTGCAAAATAGCCAAGGAGATTTGGGATAAACTTAACGTTACCTATGAAGGCACATCTCAGGTGAAAATCTCTCGCATAAATATGCCGAAAACTGAGTTTGAAACTTTTAAAATGGAAGAAGAAGAGTCGATTAGGCTGATGGCATAAAGATTCACCCACATTGTGAACAGTCTAGAGAATCTAGGAACCACGTATGAAAGTGGCGACCTAGTGCGGAAGATACTCTTGTCATTACCAAAGAAATGGAATGCAAAGGTGATTGCGATTGAGGAAGCAAAGGATTTGAGCAAGCTGGATTTTGATGAACTCATCGGATCGTTGGCAACATATGAAGAAAAGCTGAAGCGAGAAAGAACTGGAGTTCAGAAGAAGGAAAAGAGAGGGATAGCCTTTAAGGCACAAATAAAAGAAGAAGAAGAAGAACCAGGTCACTTTGAAGAATTGGATTATGACGAGTTAGCAATTCTAAGTAAACACATTACTCAGCTAATGAAGGTCAGAAGAGAACGAAGGAAAGGGAGCTTTCAGAATCAGTACAAGGATAAGGAAACTGAAAGAGAAGGCACTTTCGGGAAGCATAGAGGATCTAGAGCAAACTCTAGAATAAGGAGGGATGGTACATCTAATGATAGAAATCAGAGTGGGTGTTATAAATGTGGACG